AATTCGACGTGCACGCGCGGCCGACGCGCGAGAGTGGCCGCATGGTGCTATTTGACGCGGATCATCCCCACCGCGAGCACGCGCGCAAGGGTGTTCGACTGATTTCGACATGCGGCGCGAGTGGCTCGTTTGGCAGAACTATGAAATGTTGAAAAACGTGTGTGTTTTTCTCTCCGAATTCGCAAGGGCGCGCGCGCGCCGTTTTTGGTTGTAGTTCATGTTTTGTTTTCTTCTCTCCTTTAGAGCTATCAAAAACTAATGTTGGGAAACCATGTGTTTTCTCACATGAATGTTGGACACTTGGTTTTGGAGTCCTTGCGAAGACAACTGTTTTCTGAAGGATTTCGGCACGCGCGCGCGACTTTCGCCCCATGCTTTTGCAGAGGATTCTCGCGACAGCACGCGCGAGGGGGCGTTCGAACAATTCAACACGCGCGCGCGAAGCCCGTTGGGTAGCATGTTCTGGACTTGCTTTATAACAAACATGGTGTTCTTAAGAATTCGCAAGTGCGCGCGCGCAAGTTTTTTGGGGAAATTAATGTTGCGAAACCATGTTTGCCTTCTTTTGTTGGTGGGACACTCGATTTTGAATTCCTTACGAAACCAATAGTTTTGAACGATTTTGGCACGCGCGCGCGACGACGCGCGCGTGCGCACGTTGTCCCATTTGTTGCAAGGGATGCTTGGAAACTGATGATTTGTGATAAACGAATGCGCGCGCGTAGTACTTTGTACAACATATGCGGGGGGTGTCGATACCAGCCTGCCTGGGATGTTACGATGGGGTAGAATTATATGTGAATTGCAATACGGATGAAGGGAACCGATAATCCTGGGGGGAGCATAATCTAGCTATTTTGTTTAAAAAAATGAAAATGGACATCGACCGTCCTGCAGTCGTGAACGCCGCTGCTCGCGCAAATCCGCCGAGCCTGCTGGGGTGTGTGAGGGGCTTGTCTGTTCGAGTCGTCGTCTCCGTCAGCCGTCGTCTCTATCGATCCTTTTCCCTGCACCCTCCTCTCCATGAGGGTCCAATCGCCAAACGATCGGTCCAAAAAGTCTTCTCGCCCTCCAGACTGCCCATGAGGCCTCCAGGACGCCCCAAGAAGCCTCCAAGAGCACTCCCGGGAAGGCTCCAAGGGACCATGCTTTCTGCTTGTTTTACCACTACACCAGAGCAAAACCCCCATCATTGGATGGGCCCGGAACCAATAACCAGGAACCTGGGAACCCGGAGCCAGGAACCTGGGAACCCAGCCGGCTACCAAGATCGGCGGGAAACTTTCGCCAAATCTTTCAATATCCGCTAGGACCCCGTCAGTGCAAGCACTGATTGGGGAATGTTTAAGCGTTTTCGTTTTTTCCCAGAAAACCGTAAGACAACCCAAAATACCTCCAAGACGGCCCAAGAGGCCCCGAAAACGGCTCCAAGAGCGTGCCCTGACAGGGGACCTGGACTAACATTTCGAGCCCTCGGCCCCGAGAGGCCCCCAGGAGGCCCCAAAATGTTCACAAGAGGCCACAAGAGGCCCACAGGAGATCCCCAGGAAACCCGAAGAGGCCCCCAAGAGGCTCCCCAAAAAAACCCAAATTGGCTCCCAAGAGGCTCCAAAATTCCTCCCCAGAGCCCCCAGACAACCGTCCGAGGAGACCCCAAGAAGCATCCTTGAGCACCCTTGCCCACGTCAGCGTTGTCGTCTTCGCCGCCGCCGCCGTTGTCGTCGTCGTCGTTCCTTTAGAATCGGCGGCGCCGGCCGCAAGGCCTTCGCAATATCCCAGCCTCCCAACCGCAAACAGTTTGACAAAATCCATTCGGGCACGATTGCGGATCGCGATTGGTGCTTGCTAGCGGGCCTCTACGGCCGAGCTGGCGCGCGCACGCTTGCACGCAGATCGACAAACTGGTTTGGCGCAAATGATGAGGCCGCAGTGGCGCTTACTGATGGGAACCACCCAACGCATCTCAAAGGCCGCGCCGGCGCGCGGACACTTCAGCGCAGGTCGATGTTTCGGGCGGGCGCGATATCATAGTGACGTCGACAACGGCGGCAGCGATGGTGACGAGACGACGGTAAAGCCAATGACGGCGCAGATGCTGGCGACGACGATGGCGATGTGCATAAACCGGTGATGGAAACGATTGCGATGATGCTGATGATGACGATAGTGATGACGTTGAGGATGGTGATGATGTTGATGGCGACAGTGGCGGAATTTGCCGACGACGGCTCCGGCGGCGATGCGACGGCTCTCACCAAGGATGATGAGGAACTGCGCGCGCAGAAGTTCTTTAAATCTGACAAGCGCTTTGTCAAACAACATGTTCTAAGTGCTGGACACTTGTATCTTGAAGCGCGTGGAGACGCAATGGTCTTGGACGGGTCTCGACACGCGCGACTGGCCGCGAGCGCATGTGACCAGAATGGCGCTACCTGGTATGGACTCGTGCATCGAGCGCATGCTAAATCAAGCGGGCGTACCGCGCGTTGCAATGGGGATGCGGATCTGGACGAGATGCGAAAAACGAATGTGCGATAATGATGATGACGGTGCCGATGCTCGTTGGGCTGGGGTGGTTTGTATTCATATGAAAACGCACGAAATCGGGGTGGTGGTGGGGTCGATTCATCTTGACGGAATAAAGCAATACAATATATGTGGCATTGTGAAGTGGAAGATCTGCGGCGCAAGCTATGGTGCACACAGTGTGATGTGAGATTAAGTATGTCGCGGAAGCTGTGTGGTGAAACGTTGTACTGAGCAGAAACATGGGGGGCGCGCGGGAAAACACAAATTGTTCCTCTGCTCGGGCGAATCACGGGGGGGGCGCCCGCCAAATTGAAACACACGGCGGTTCGCCGGTGATTAGCGCCGACGCACGGCCGACTGCTGGAGAACGACAGGCGCGACGCAAGCGGCGCCGCTGCAGCGGAGGGGGACAGCAGCGCCTCAGATACAGCAGGGCGGTTGGGCCAACATGGCCACACACAGGGAAGATGGCGACGACGACGAACTGCGGATGCCCCATGAAGGGGGGAGGGTGCTGCGTGCGTAGACCCGCTGTAATCAACGATGACGGACGACGACGACGACGACGAAAACGACGACGACGACGACGACGACGACGGACGACGACGACAACGACGACGACGACGACGACGACGACGACGACGGACGACGACGACGACGACGACGGAGCGGCGACGACGACGACGACGACGACGACTGTGGCACGGCAGAAATCAGCCAGAGAGGGGGGAACACTTCGCATCGGATGTATACGACCCCCAGAACAAAACAGAACAAATCCACTCCGATACGAAGGACAACCTTTTTGAGGCTGCTGTGCAGGGTGGTACACGATCCCCTCGACGGCGCCCGCGACGACCCCCTCGCGCGCGCGATGAAGAAAATGTTTCGAGCCCCACGGGGTCTATTCATTAGCCCCGGCGGGGGGGCCCATCTGATAATTACAACCTGACATTTAGCTCAGCGCCCCGGGTGCCCACGAGCGTGCGCGAAGTGGCACGGGCGGCATTGTGGCGCCATCTCGGCTGACACACTCAGCGCACGGGGCACCCACGAGCGCCCACGAGGCGACACGGGCGGCAACGTGGCGCAACCTCGGCGGACCTACCCATCGCACGGGGCGCCCACGAGAACCCACGATGCGCCACTGGCGGCAACCTCAGCGCTACCTACCCAGCGCACGGGGCGCCAAAGAGCGCCCACGAGGCGGCAACGTGTAACGTGCTCGACGGACCCGTCCAAGCACTTCAGAAACATACAGCAACCAATTCCTCAGTGCAAACACCGCTTGGGAAACAATCAGGAAATCTCCTCAAACGTGGCGATCTGCTCTGCGACGCGGGCCCAGGAGCTCTTAGAGTCCTCCCAAATTCGGTGCCAGTAGATGGGGTCGAAGGATTGCGCCGCGTCGCCGATGCATCGGCGATCCATCGGTGATGCTTCGGCGACGACAGCGATGCATCGGCGACGACAGCGATGCATCGGCGACGCCAGCGTTGAGAAAAGCAGACTCCACATCGAGCTGCATCGGCAATGCATTGGCGATACGGCGCGATCCTCCGACCCCATCTACACCGACACCATCTGGGAGGCCCAGAGGACAATTGCTTCTTCGAGTGTTTTTTTTTGATGGCCCCGGGGCCCGGCAAGCGGCGCGCAGAGGTCGGGGCGGGATCCCCCGCGACAGCCTGCCGGGAGGTCCTGGCCCCCGGGCTCGAGGGACCCCTCCCGGGGCGCGTTCTGGTCAGGATTGGGGCGGATCCAGCCGTGCCGACGAGGCCCCCACCCCGACGTCCCGAGGAGGAGGAGGAGGAGGAGGAGGAGGAGGAGGAGGAGAAGGAGCAGGAGGAGCAGGAGGAGCGATGACGATGCCTCCTCGTCCCTCCTCCTCCTCCTCCTCCTCCTCCTTCTCCTCCTCCTCCGTCTCGTACCGCTCTCTGGTCGGAGGTTGCCACTCGTGATCCCTGCGCAAGGTGGCCCCACCTTTCGCGCCCCTCTGGGGAACCTGGGGTCCGCTGGGCGCCATATGGGCCTCCCTGAGAAAACTGGGGCTTCCATGAGCCAAGATCACCCAGGGTCCTGGTGGAAACGGGTCCTGGACCCGGCGGGATTCTCTGTGACCAGCTCTGTACCCTGCGTCGTTCCATGGTCCTGCCGCCAGGCGAGTGCCCCGGGGACCCCCCACAGGAGAAACATATCCAAGACCCCCTTTCCTCCAGGATCCCCCCTTCTTCACAATATCAGTCAGCATCGAATTGGCAGATCGGATCGAATCAAAATGTGCATCGGATCGGGCTGCATGTGCACGCAGTCGAAATCGGAGCGGCTCGGCTACGTCAAGATGCACAGCAGCGCCATGCGAGCATCGGGGCGTATCAATGCCGAAATCGAATCGGATCGGGCTGGATTGATCAGATCGACATGGACCCTGTCATGGCGATCGCCTCTGACAGCGCCCGACCTGACGGGTCCTGGCCCAGAAGAGATGTCGCCGTCCCTGCCGTGCGGGTCGCATGACGACGATCGCGACGACTTCCACGACGAGCCGCCCCGTGACGAGCCGCCCCGCGACGAGCGCGACAGCTCCGCGGTGCCCGAGGAGCTGGCCTCCGGCGGCGAGGGGGGGCAAGGGAGAGGTGTCTTTGGATGTTTAGAGCTGCTGGATGGTATTCGATGGATCTGGGCACTCTTCAAATTTGCCAGATGATTCCAGGAAGGGGAGTAGAGGAGGAGGCAGAGGAGGAGCAGGACGCAACAGGAGCAGCAGCATGAAGAGAAGCGCACTCCGATCACGACGCCGCCCTCGACCCACGGGCGGGCGGCGCGCGTCAGCGGCGAGCGGCAGACGATGAAGAAGCCGCCGAATGCGAGGAAGAAGAGGATGCAGGGGGGCGGCGACAAAGGTAACGGCAACAAGGACGAGGAGAAAAGCTCTGGGGGGTCCAATGTGCTCCAGGGGGCTCTCCTCCACCTCCCCTCTTCGTCCTCCACCTCCTCCACCTCCTCTTCCTCCTCATTCACCTCCTCCTCCTCCTCCTCCTCCTCCTCCTCCTCCTCCTCCTCCTCCTATTCCTCCTCCCTTCTTTCCCCTCCCCTCCCCCTCCCCCTCCCCCTCCTCCTCCTCCTCTCCTGCTCCACCTCCTCTTCACTCCTCCTCCTCTCCCTCCTCCTCCTCCTCCTCTCATCATCATCATCATCATCATCATCATCATCATCATCATCATCATCATCATCATCATCATCATCATCATCATCATCTCATCCATCATCATCATCATCATCATCATCATCATCATCATCATCATCATCATCATCATCATCATCATCATCATCATCATCATCATCATCATCATCATCATCATCCATCATCATCATCATCAGCATCATCATCATCATCATCATCACACATCATCATCATCATCATCATCATCATCATCATCATCATCATCATCATCATCATCATCATCATCATCATCATCATCATTATCGATCATCATCATCATCATCATCATCATCATCATCATCATCATTTTCCTCCTCCTCCCTCCTCCCCTCTCCTCCTCTCCCTCCTCCATCTCAATCTCCTGCTCCTCCTCCTCCTCCCTCCTCCCTCTTCCTCCTCCTCCTCATCCTCCAACCTCCTCCTCCACTCCTCCTCCTCCTCTCCCTCCTCCTCCTCCTCCTCCTCCTCCTCCTCCCCCCCCGGTCTCTCTCCTTTCTCAGTCCTCTTGCTCCTCCTCCTCCACCTCCTCCTCCTCGTCCTCCTCCTTCTCAATGTTACTGCTCCTCCTCATTCACCACCTCCTCCTCCTCCTCCTCCTCCCTCCTCCTCTTCCTCCTCCTCCTCCTGCTCCTCCACCACCTCCTCCTCCTCCTCCTCCTCCGCTCTTCCTCCTCCTCCTCCTCTCTCCTCCTCCTCCTCCTCCTCCTCCTCCTCCCTCCTCCCACACCTCCCCCTCCTGCTCCTCCTCCTCCTCCGTCTCCGCCTCCTCCTCTTCCTCCTTTCCAGGTTCCTTACAACAAACTTCTCCGTGTCGCGCCCCGAGACCATTTCTTAGGGCGGGCCGGGCGTTTCGCCTGAGACTTCCTCATCAATGATGACCCTGACGCTTAAACATTGGCATCGGTTGCATAGCTGGAGGGCGGGCCGTTTTCAACATGTGGCTCTCGCCTTAGCGCCGCGCGCATTCGTTTTTGAACTGTTGCAAGAGTTTTGCGGATTGAAGGCGGTTCCGGTCCAACATGTGGTTGTCGCCATAGAGCCGCGCACATTCGTCTTCAACAGTTGCATACAGTTGCAACAGTTTTACGGATCGAGGGCGGGCCGTTATCAAAATGTAACTGTCGCTTAAGCGCTGCGTGTATTCGCTCTCTATTTAAATGTCAGGATTGCACGAATTCAAGTCGGCTCCTTTTCAAAATGTCGTTGTCGCCTTAGCGCCGCGCGCATTGGTTCCAGAAGAGTGCAAGAGTTGCACGGATTGAGGGCGGTTCCTTTTCGAAATGTGGCTGTCGCCCTTGCGCAGCGCACCTTCCTGGAGAAACTGCGCAAGAGTTGCACGGATTCCCATGACCAGCGTACCAGAAGTTGTGTTTTGGAAGTTGGAAGGATTCAGGATTATGAGGGTGCAGCACTTACGTTGGTTCGCGGCGTTGGAGTCCCAGGAATGGCGTTCTGGCGCGATTCAGGACCTTCCATACGCAACAATCAGGTTGATCCGTGGCGTTGGAATCCCGAGAACAATGTTTTGGCATGCTTCCGGGTATTCAAACGGATGTCTTCCAACGAGGCAGTTCCCTCAGTGGAGGTGAACCGTTGTAGGGGCTCATGACGAGGGAGCTCGGAGGGGGGGGTTATTCCAACATCGTTGCTGACTCTTGGCTTTACACTGGTCTTCCTCTTCCTCCTCCTCCTCCTCCTCCTCCTCCTAAGGCGCCTCCTGGGGAAGAGGCGGAGGGAAGTGAATGGGGGCTCCCATGAATCCCCACGACCCTCCGGGTGTCGACTCTGCGCCAAGCCACCTGGATGGCAGAGAGCCCCTTGCGGGGGCGGGGGGCGGGATCGGGCACGAACCTCGCGGAATGGGCACTCTGGACACCCCGCACAGAAAGGCACCCGTGCCGCTACTCCACAGACCTCTCGGCGGGTGCGTTCTGACAATGCCAATACTCTCGAAGCGAATCCAGCCGTGGTGAAGAGGGATGGGTACCGATATCTCGGCGACTAGCCCAGGGGGGAAGTGAGAAGGCGCGGGGCTTCTCAGAAGGCTCGGAAGTCCCCTGGCCTTCTCACTTCTGAGAAGTACTCTAAACTTTCCCTGGAGACACAGAAAACTTCTCACCAGGCGCGAGGGCTTCTGAGAAGTCCCGCCGCCGTCTGAGAAGACCTTCTCCTTCTCATTTCCCCCCCTCGTTCGCCGCAGAGGATCGGTACCTGTTCCTCCTCTGCTAACCGACCACCTCCACCTCGACCTCGCTCTCTCGAGCGCCCAGCGAAGCTCGGCCTCTGGGGGTGGTGTGGGGGAGCCGGCGCCCTGGCTTCCCCCTCCACCAGCCCTGGGCCTCCAAGAGCAAAGGTGGCAGGGGGGACCATCACATGCTGTGATGGGAAGGCAAAGATCTGGCCGACCTGATCCTCACCCAAGACCTTCCTTGAGCTGGGCGGCGGGGGTCGTGTAACTAGAGCCGACGGGAATTTCAATTTGGGACTATGGCTGTGGCTCGCCCACCCCCCTGGCGAACCTCCTTCCGATTGCCTCCGCGACTCGTCTCTCGAGCGGTCCCGTCGTCCTTCCCGCCTGGCCTCCTGTTGGCATGAGGGGAGCGGGTCCAACGGGCAGCGGTCCTGACCCCCGTGTATAGCGTTTCGTTCCGAGTCGTCCTTTGACGACCCCGTGGCCTGGGAACGGCCCTGAACGCCAAAAGACACGGTCCAAAGTTCAGAGAACGACGCCCACCTGCGGATGACGGTGCCCACGAGATACACCAGGCAGACCCTGAGAAATGCGAGGGCCAACCTGCCACGGGCGATCCCGCACAGGAGACCTTGGCTTGCGCAGCCCTGGCGGCAAGTACGTGAAGTGCAGTACGGTGGCTCAAAACTGAAGCGTGAAAGTGCAGTACGCTGTAAATGTACAGCACGGCGGCTCAAGACCGCTATGCACAATGCGTTCAAACCTCCGACGTCGAGGTTGATCAAAACGTAGACCCCGAGCTTTCACGCCTTGAGCGCGAACGTCTCAAGACCATCCCTCCCGATTGGGCGGGTTGGGGCGTCAAATCGCTACAGAGCTCGACACGCCATGGCCACCAGCAACAGACCCAGGCGAGGGAATATGTGGGGAGGAGGGGCGGAGAGGGGACGCGAATACGAAGGTGGGAGAGGAGGGAAAGGATGAGGATGGTGGAAACTTCTTGTGGTTTCTTGGAGGTCTAGGGGGTCCGAAAAGACTCGGAGGGAGGATGAGCGAGGATGGGTGATGAGGAAGGTAACGACGAGGAGGATGTTTTTGACCTCTACGGATCCACCGCATAGTGCAACCAGCTGGCAGGGCGGGACCTACAAGCTGTGGGAAAGAGGCAAACAACTGTGCCGAAGTTAGGCACCGTCGCCTGAGACCTCTACCCGTCAGTGCCAAAGAGACAGCTCAGGGCCGAGGCCACGCGCAAGTGCCCAAGCACAACGTGCACCTGCCACAACATCTCTAAGAGAGGGGGCAGGCACACGTGACCAAGGGGACCCCGAGCTGCAAGCGCAAAAAGAGGCCAGCTGCAGGGAGACTGCAACTGGACACTATCTCGAGCCGACTGCCCTCGACTGTGCAAGAGGGACAACAGGCGAGACAGCGCCCTCCCACAAGGGCCACGATGGCACCGAGACGAGGAGGGCATAGGCCGTGGGACGCGCACCGCACACACGCACGAGAAGCGCACCCCACGCCAAAAGAGAAGATGTTGGGGCCCTGAACCTACGCTCAAAGCCACAGCAACATCCGCCGAGCCACGGTCAGGATGGAGTCATCCCCGTGCTCGGACCCAGAAGAGGTGCACCCAATATGTGCGCGCTCCTTCCCCCAGAGATGGGGCGCCTGACGCACGTGCACGACTACGCCAAAGAGAGAGAGAGAGAGAGAGAAAGAGAGAAACCTGGCAGAGAAAGCTCGACCACCCACAATAGGACGACGAGCCCACAGCCCCTGGTGCAGCCAGCGCCAGGACGACCGACGGACTCGCCCCAGATGTGGGGTAACGCACGGATGCCTGCCAAAAGGGTCAGCCGCATCGGGCCGTGCAGAAGAGAGAGATGGCGCACCCTCGCAAAAGGGAAAAATCGACCACCCACAAAAGGACGACGAGCCCGAAGTCCCAGGTGCAGCCAACGCCAGGACGACAAACGGACTCGCCCCAGATGTGGGGTTAAGCACGGATGCCTGCCAAAGGGGTCAGTCGCACCGGGCCGTGCAACAAAACGAAGACGAAAAGGCGGCCCTGCGCCACAGAGAATCAATCCGAGCTGTCCGACTCGTCCTGGCGGCGTCTCGCCAGGAAGGAAGGCGTGAGAAGTGGTCCCTGAGAAGGAGGCTGCGGAGCCGCATCCTCTTCGGCCA